GTGGCTCACTCGGGAGAGTGCGGCGCTGGGAGCGCCGAGCCCGGCGAGGCCGGTGCGCTCACTGGCTGAGCGCGGTGCGGGGGACACCACGCCAAGGGTTACAATCCCCTTACCGGTCACAAAAAAAAAAAAAAAAATGCATATCAGAGTGGTAAACTTATCTACGTTTCCAAGTCTATTGAGTAGCAAAGCTGGGCTTTAAACTGCTGTCTCTTGACACCACTCCAAGGTGCACCCTTTTGCATAGGATCGTTGTGTCATTACAGTTGAAAAGCCCATGGTTGGGAGCGCTGAGGCCGCGGGTTCGGATCCTATATAGGGATGGCCAGTGTGCTCACTGGCTGAGCATGGTGCGGATGACACCGTGCCGAGGGTTACAACCCCCTTACCGGTCAAAAAAAAAAAAAAAAAAAAATGCATATCAGAGTGGTAAACTTATCTACGTTTCCAAGTCTATTGAGTAGCAAAGCTGGGCTTTAAACTGCTGTCTCTTGACACCACTCCAAGGTGCACCCTTTTGCATAGGATCGTTGTGTCATTACAGTTGAAAAGCCCATGGTTTAAACCATACCATTACTCAGCCATTCATCGCAATAAAAATAATGCCACAGAATCCTTGGAAACTTTTTCTTCCCGTCTGATTTTTTCTTATGATATAATATCCCCAAGAGCAAACCCACCTTTGGGAGAGGTTTTATCCAACACAGCTGGCTCTCTAAGAAACTTCCAGTCAGTCCTCAAAACCATAATCATTTCTAAAGCCAAGTTGGAATTCAGTACAGGAGTGACTATGGTTAGTGATTTATAGCACTAAATAAATTTTGAAACATAAAGATCTCCTGGATCTGAAACAATAATCACAGGAGCATTTCTTATTTTCTTTCACCAACTCTAGATTTTGGATGTTACCCACTTTTGGCTTTTCTACAAGGGCCTTGTGATGAATAGTTCCAACTATCGGTGACACTATGAGATAACTCTCATGAAGGGCCCAATTTCAAAACTGAGCAAACAGGAAAATTAAGGCCTAGGACAAGCTTGACACTATATAGGAGAGTTAGATGTTGTGATTCTCTCTATCCTGTAATCCTTGTGCGTGAACCACCCCAGCATTCCCAAACATCTGCCTACGTGGCTGCTTCCCACCGGTCCCAAACCGCTGCTCCTGTGACTTTTATCTCTGTTCCCCCATCACTTAGTATAGTGCCAAATACAAAGAGGCACAATAAACATTTGCTAAGTAAATAATCCAGGAGAGACAACTGACAACTCTACCCAAGAAGGTGTTACATAAAATAAGAAGAAATATCACCAGTATGAGTTATTAACTGCTGGCAAGCCTGGTAGGAAGGGAGATATTACATCCAAGAAAGTGCTGTCTGTTTCAAATAGAACATATCAAGGCTTGGAAATCAATGCTGAAAGGAAAGACAAGTTCCCAGAATCATAGACAAAGTGCTTGGAAGCTGACTGTAGCTTCATCCTCCTCCGTTTTCCCACACCAGAGTTCTGTACACAGACGCCTCTCCTGGACATTTCATCTACATAAAATTACACAGTATTTTCCGACTGGCTTCTTCCACTCAGCCCAATGCTTTCAAGGTTCATTCATGTTGTAACATATACTTTATTCCCTTTTACTGCCAAATAATCTTCCATGGTATGGATATATCACATTTTGTTGATCCACCATATCCTTGGTGGGTATTTGAGTTGTTTCCGCTTTGCAGCTGTTGTGAACAGTGCTGCTATGACTGTTCATGTCTGTTTTTGTGTGGACTTGTGTTTTCATTTCTCATGGGTGTATACCCAGGAGCGGAATTGCTGGGCCCCATGGTAACTCTATGCTTAACATGTTTAGGAACTGTCAAAGCATTTTCCAAAATGGCTGCACCATTTTGCATTCTCACCAACAATGTGTGAGGTCTCCGATTTCTCCACATCTTGGCCAATACTTGTCATTATCTGCCTTTTTAATTATAGCTATCCTCATAGGTGTGAAGTGATAGCTCATTCTGGTTTTGATTTTCATTTCCCTGATGGCTAATGATGTTGAATATTTTCATGTGCATATTGGACATTTGTCTATTTTCTTTGGAGAAATATCATTTCAGGTCCCTTGCCCTTTTCTAATTAGTTATTTCTATTTTTATTACTGAGTTTTAAAAAAAAGGTTTTTATATGTTTGGAATATGAGTCCTTATCAGTATATGATTGTAAATATCCTCTCAACATTCTGTAGGTTTTCTTTATACTTTCTTGATGTTCTTTGAAACACAGACCTTTTAATATTGGTGAAATTCAATTTATCTACTTTTCTTGTGTTACTTATGGTTTTGGTGTCATATCTAAGAAGTCCTTTTTTTTTTTTTTTTTTTTTTTTTTTGCATAACCCAAGGTCACAAAGATTTACTTCTATGTTTTCTATTAAGATTTTTATAATTTTAGCTCTTACCTTTAGGTCTATGACCCATTTTGAGTTAATTTTTGTGTATGTTATTGTAAGGGGTCCAGTTTTATTCTTTTGCATGTGGTTATTCAGTTGTTTTAGTGCCATTTGTTGAAAAGACTGTTCATTCCCCATTGAATTATCCTGGTACGCTTGTAGAAAATCAGTTGACCATAAATGTAAGGGTTTAGTCTACAGACTCAGATTCCATTGACCTACATATCTATCCCTATGCCAGTACAACACTGTCTTGGTTATTGTTGCTTTATGATAAATATTGAAACTGAAGAGTGTGAGTCCTCCAACTTTGTTCTTTTTCAGAAATGCTCTGACTACTCTGGGTTCCATGAACTAACATATGAATTTTAGGATAGCCTTGTTAATTTCTGCAAAAAAAGATTGTTGGGATTTTGATAAGGATTGTGTTTAATCTGTAGATTATTTGGAAATTAATGCCATTTTAACAATATTAAATCTTCCAATCAATAAACATTGAATGTTATTCCATTTACTTAGGTCTAATTTATTTTATTTCAACATTTTTTTTATTTTCAGAGTACAGGTTTTGCACCCTTTTGTTAAATTTATTATTAAGTATTTTATTCTTTTGATCTAAAGTAAATGGAATTTTTTTAATTTTATTTTTTGATTGTTCATTGCTAGTGTAAAAAAATATAACTGATTTTGTATATGATGGTACAGTTTGTGGAAAAATCGAATTAAAAGATAATATGAATCTTTCCATGAATTTTTTGAGTTCCCTTGTATTGATCTTGTATTTTGAAATCTTGCTCAACTCACTTATTAGCTCTAATAGTTTTTTAGTTGATTTCTTAGAGTGTTCTAAATACAAGATCATGTCATCTGCAAATAGAAATAGTTTTCCTTTTTTTCTCTCTGGATGCATTTTATTTCTTTTTCTTGCTTAATTTTCCCCAGCTAGAACCTCTAGTACAAAGTTGAATAGAAGTGGGGAGAACAGACATCCTTGTCTTGTTCCTGATCTTAAACACAAAAGTATGATGTTAGTGAGTTTTTCAAAGAACTTTATAGTTTGAGGGAGTTCCTTTCTATTGCTAGTTTGTTGAGTGTTTTTGTCATGAAAGGCTGTTACATTTTGTCAAATGCATTTTATAAAATTTATTTATTGAAACAATCATGTGAGTTTCATCCTTTTTTTCT